TATTCTATAAAATCTTGATGAATTTGTAGAGGTTAGTGTCTTTGCTTATTCCTCATTCACATATGCCATTTTTTCATTCTAATTATTCCTATTCTCATCCAACTCAGGTGTATCCTCCACCTCTCCAGAGCAAGACTTAGTCGGTACAACGCCATACAGGCCAGTTTGGTTCTCACCCTGTCAAGATCCAATCACTGGGGAGCAGGTCTACCGTTTCAATAACACCTATTGGGAGGCTAAATCCAAGCAGGACTGGTCAAAATGCCCTGACATTTTCTAACCTCTTAGACCTCAAGTAACCGAACTCTAAGTCATTCTGCTCCCTCTACATGTCAGGACAAAAAATTTGTCGCAGCCCTTAATGGCAGGGAGCTAAACGGTTGGAGGAAGAAATCTCGCGCCGTCAACTCGGTAGCTATCACACGTTCTTCAGCCGGGCGCATTTATGGCTTGATCAAACAGGCGATCATGGGGTATTTGGACGTTAATTGGGCTTTCTATAGAAAAACTCCGAGCCTTTCGTTTTCGCCTTGGAAATAAGCCCATATAAATGGCAATGCAGCCCTCTCTTCTTCCTCACCCGGCATGTCCAATCCAAGCAGTTTGGCAATTTTTTCTGGTGACACTGGTCTCTTATCCTCTTCATCAGCCCATCTCTCTTGTTCGAATTCCCGATAAAATTAAATGACTAGTTAATTTCCCTGACCAATACTCTTGATAACATAAGCATCAGACAGCTTTCGGAGATACCATTCTTACCTCCTTACTCTTACTTGTTGCCCCAACCCCCTTCAATGCGTCGTCACTGCCAGGCGCGGAAATGTTCCCGAATGCCCCATTGCGACCATTTAAAACACTTAATTTTGACTAAATTATAAACTAATTTACGACTACTGGCAGGCGAAATCAGATTATATCCCCAGTTGCCTTTGTGAAAATGACCCTCGGTTGTGTCTCTTGTGTCGACAAGTCTTATCAGTATCGCCTCGAAGCTTTATTTTACCGACCCAAAAACCATATTTTATATATTTCAGTTTCTGGCTGCTAATCTTAAACCGAACAGCATACAGAACGCGCACGAATGCACTAGCGCTTTCTCTTCAAAATGTCCAGACCAAACCCGCCTACCTACCTTCATTTATCTATTTTTCTAGAAACCCACCTGTCCAAAACAGCATACCTATCTAGGTATTCCTTCTCAGTCAAAGGCCTATATTCGAAGCACACTTTTAAATTATTTTAAAAATTAGCCTTTTCAGCCTAAAGAGTCATGTTCTTTTCATGCTTACTCTTCTTCCTGTCGTATAATTAACGACCATTAGCCCCATTTTTTACAATTACTTGCGAATGGCCATTAACAATTGCTGGCTCAAGTCAGACTAGACATAAAAATTAGAGCTTCACACGACGGTCAAATATTTTGAATCTTTCATGATTTTTTTATTTTGTTATTTATCCAATAATTTTGGACACTAAAGATACTGGGCACCGTTTATATTGTATGTTTTTGCCGCGAATTTTATAGCAATAGATTCGTAACCTTTTACTTCGATGAAACGAAGATAGCGCTATTCAGAAGAGAAAAGAAAAAGCACTTGATTATTTATTTGTCTTTCTTTGCTTAAAAAGGCATCCATGCAAAAACACATTCCCAAGCCTTTCTTTGAAACAAATCGCCATTACAAATTTCAATTGAAGCAAAAATAAAAGATAATAATAATTTGTTGCTTTTGCCCGAGATATACGATATGAGAGCAAATTAGGTTTAGCAGGCGGAAATATAAACTCTTTGGGGGGAAATTGGATGATGAGGTGAATGAGGTGAGACTGAAGTCAAAATTGAAGTAATGATTACAGAAAATACGAAAAATAACTTTGAGCAAATTTCACCGGACTAATAGGTAAGATAGGATAAGTACGGATACATGTGTGCAAATACTCGACTTGGGGTATTTCTGAAATTATATTATTATGAGAGGTGAGAGAGCCGAGGATGAGCATAATCGTTAACACAAGCTAAATTGATCGATCAGTCAAGTACTCCTCAGGCCAGATGGGGAGAAGAAATAGAATGGGTTCTAGAAGTAAGGAACGATGCAGGCTGGGCAGAATAATGGCCAGACATAAGTTAGTGTGAATTGTGCAGGATAGTCACTTTGCTTGTGTGGAGAAAAAGCGATTTTAGTCGGACGCTTGGTCGTGAAAGCCATAACCAAGGCGGGCTAATGCGATATAGACACGACGGCGTTGTATCCCGCGGAATTGGCTCCGACAGAGGATGTCATGCGACGTGTTCCCTGTTTCTGGAGTGGTTGTGTGAAATGGAATTGAGTTGTTGGGAAGACTAGGTGGTATTGAGGAGCAGGGCGTGCCGACCGGAGTGTTGCCCGCTAGACCTCGTTGGATCAGGCTCAAGTAATGGAATAGGTGTAGGGTTGCAGCCAGGCGGTGCCGAGCCGAGGCGCTGATGACGTATCGTGCATCAGATGCTAGCTTGGACTTAAAGGAGATATAATGAAATGGAAAGTGAAAAAGACTCAAAGAATAAACAAAACTCCTAATAACTGGTGGTTTTGTGAATCCAATTTTGTAAAACT